CAGCGACAGGACACTCTGGGACAGGGAAGCTCGTTGGGGGCGGTCAGGAAGACCAACCCTGCACCAAGAGCGTCCGCTCCGCCTGAAGGAGCCCTCCCTGAACCTCTCCTTGGACCTCTCATCGTACGAGTGAGTCTCCAACCAGAGCTTCTTGTTCCCAGCAGACTGGCTCACACGTGGGAAGGGCCCAAGGGCCAGGCAGCAAATGTGGCGGTGGAGAGTCCATGAGCCTGAGTCTGTGTGCCCACCGCCCGTCAGGGAACAGGCGCTCAGAACGTTTGTTGAACGGCTGACGCACGCCTGGGTGAAGGAATTCATTTATTCAACGTTCCTCCCACAGGCTTGTGGAGTGTGAGCCAGAGCCCAAGGTGCCAGACAGGGTGACAGGCCCAGGGATGACTCCGCCCCTCTCGGGCTCACCGCTGAAGGACAAGTGCAGTCACAACTGAAATGGCCGCGGGGACAGGGCTTGCGGCCCTAGGAACTTCACGGAGGTTCGACGTGATGGGGAAAGCAAGAAAATGACCCTTTGGCTGAGGTCTGAAAGATGAATAAGAATAAACTGTACAATTTTAAATGGAAAACTTGCCTGAGAGAAGCCACGAAAGAGAAGAGCTAGATTCCAACAAGAAAATCGCCTCCGGGGACTGAGCTGTGTGGGGTTTTAACTTCGTCTTCCTTATGTTCCCGAACTTGAGAATGTGCATCTCAACGGAACAAAACAAGAACCAGCAAAAAGGGTGTCGCAGCCCTGAGAAAAATTCGGTGTCCCGTAAATGGGACGAGCAACGGAATAGTGCTTTTCATGTTACACCACCACCTGTCTTCAGAAGCACAAATCCAGACCCACGGCCACGCCCGTGCACGACCTCGGCACAGTCACTCTCTCCAGAGTAGGCGGGGGGGGGGGGTGGCAGCAGAGCCGCTGCGCCAGGCACTCCTGGGTGTGTTGATAAATGCTCTTCAAGTGTGAGTCTTACCAAGCTTTACACAGAAAATCCACAGAGCACCCGGTTGGGGAATTAGGACCTAGATATATTTCATGCATCTTTCATTGCATATTTTGGCTGCATTCAGGGATCTATGAAGTCTCTCTTGTGGCTAATTTCTTGCTTATCGGCCCGCCTCCTCTCCATGAGCAAGCATGACAGTAGGTTGGCGGGGAGTGGGCCAGCTTCTTATTGTATAAGATATATGTTGAAGCTGAATTTTAATATCTTTATCAATATTTTACAATTTTAACACTTTTTAAAGAGTATACCCATACTCTAAGGCTTTATCTGCTAAATAGTTACATTATTACAGAGATCATCTGAAACCTTCAGAAAGTGAACCTTCTTAGCAAAAAGTCTATTTTAACACATTTAGTAGAAAAGGCAGGTTTAGATCTAAATTGATTCCCTTCTCTTGTCTCTTTATCACCAAGACAAAGGAAATGTCTATAATTCAAGGGTAAGATAGCACCAGGGCACCAAATAATGTGATTATATCTGATTCAAGCCTTTAGACTAAGATGGCAGGTGACTTTGAAAATTGGCTAAATCAACACGGCACCCTTGTCCACTGGATTCCCTATTTACTGCGCCTGGTCCACACACGTGAAAGGAGGCAGTGAGGAAATGTCTTGTGGATTACATACCTTAGCTTTCATGAAATGGGACAATTCAGTTACTTGTTCACTGACCAGAAAAATTCCGGGAAACATTCCACTCCCCAAGCGTATTCTGAAACCCAGATGTAGACTAGTTCAAGGTGGGCATTACTCTGTTAGATCCACATGAATTGGATTAATCTCAGGCAAAATCTTCATCTCTGTGGTGAGGGAAAGGTTTGCATCATCAGCTCCACCAGTTTTTCCACACATGGCCAGTTTTATCTTAAATGAAGTAGATATTACTCCTATCAGCTTGGAGTGTGTTGTAAAATGTATTGCGCTGCGGGTGAGGCCTTTCTCTACTGTCACTGAAATGCTATTTCACAACGAAAATGACATTTTATAAAAGCTGTGTTCAACGCGGCAGAAGTGTGGGGGAGCTCTGGGCACCTTTCCGATTCGAGGGGCTTTGGGGCTGCTTTCTGGGAGACCTGCACGCGGGGCGCAGCGAGTGCACGGGACCGGGGACCAGAGCCGGAACCCGGCTGGGCCAGGCTGCTCTCGCTGCGTCCCCGAGGAAGAGGCCGCCCTCCTTCCCGGTCAGTATCGCCCAGAGAGGTGGGGGGCCCGCGGGAGGGCGACCCCACAGCGCTTCCAGAGCAACTCTGCAGGCATTTCAGGAGGGCGACCCTGGGCCTCGGGCTAGGTGGCGTGGCCAAAATCCCTACACTCCAGAGTGACCGGTGCTCCAAGTCGGGCAGGGAGGCTACTCGAGGTGCCAAATTACGCAGCGCAAGTTACTTCTTAGAAAGAATTAAGTCCCTTCCCGCTTTCTTGGCTGCTCCCTTCACACGTTCTTATCCCAGCCCGGCACCGTTCGCCGGGGCTGCTGTCCGACCCGGGATGAGAGCCTCTGAGGCCGCTTGGGACCCTTGTCCACGACCTTGAACCCAGCATCCAGCCCCGGGCAAGGTGCGTGGAGTGACCAGACGCAGCAGGCGGCATGCTGGAGGCAGAGACGACGCCTTTCCGGAGTCACCCGGGGCCACCTTCCATCCAGCAGGCCCCGAGGAAGGGGCGCCCCGGCGAGGCCGCTGCTCTGCCAGGGTGGTCACTCGGGGCCCCTCCCACACCCTGAAACTTACTCGGGGCCCCGCCCCCAGGCCGGCTGTTACTCGGGGCCCCTCCCCCAGGGCCGGCTGTTACTCGGGGCCCCTCCCCCAGGGCAGGCTGTTACTCGGGGCCCCTCCCCCAGGCCGGCTGTTACTCGGGGCCCCTCCCCCAGG